TATATAGCAAAGCATGAAGCATCCTTGTCATGAAGGACATATGTTTAATTCTTTGAATATGAAAAAGGGGTCTTTATATATGTGGACCAACGTATATAAAATCTTGGAATAATGATGCTTGAAGAGGCTCGATGACTAGTCGAAAATGGATATACTGACTTGGTAGCGCCTGTTTGGTTTTTTTTTCCGAACTGATCAATCATCTGTTGACAAGCGTTTCTCCTATTTTTTAACTATTCCGTGAACCTATTTGTATAGCATAATCGAAAATTTTAATCGTTTTTTCATAGACCACATTTTAGTACTATAATATAACAGCTCAGCTGTCATATAAACACATTTGACAGATAACCTTTCCCCCACATAATATCAAAATTTTATGACAGTTTGAAGTCATTTCACTATTATAGACTAGTCCTAGGGACCTCCCAAATTATTTTGGATCACTTATTCAGGAACCTTCTCTCATGGTACACTTAATAATTGCTAGGATATTATTTAATTAAATACCCAATGGTTTAATTTTATTTTTTTATTTCAACTGGTTCCCAAAGGAATTAATTAATTAATTAAACCAAACAATGATTGAAATATTGGTATTGCATTTTATAACATGTTGGGTAGTACCAATAAGTTTAAACCTCATGTTGGCATCAATGGTATCTTGCTTCTCTTTGATAGGAAATTTTAAATTTAGGACTTGACTCCACAAATTGGTGGAAATTATTAGCGATGATGACTGGCTAGCGACATGAATTCAAAGTGATCTGAAGATGATTAGCAATACGAAAATACGATTCTTAAATTTCATAATATTCGAATCGAAGACTTTAACAATGGTAAAAAAAATTATCTCAGAATTCAAAACTCGTAGAATCCTAGCTTTTCTATATCTCGAGCTCTTAAAAGACTTGTCTATTTTTGTCTCGAGCTTTTAAAGGGCCTACATGTTTCATGCCTCGGGCCATAAAGAAAACTCTAGAATTTTGATGTGAAGAATAATTTCCCAAATCTATTTGCAGAGAAGGGGATATTGAATAAAAATAATAATGGTCATACTTGCACAAAAATAAGCATTGCCCATACTTTGGCAAAGAAGGGATGCTATATTATCTTAAGGCACTTTGACAAGTAGCTTTCAGTGCAAACACCAAAGAAATCAATTATTGATAATACCCATGAATTGGGACCAGAAGCAGCTTTACTGTCAATCATTTTTTGGGGTCAACTTTAATTTCGATTCAATTTCGTAATAAAATATAATACTCTACTGAATCGAATTTAGAGAAGATATGCATTTATTTATTTATTTAAAATGCGACCTCACTTACTCATTGAAATTATATTTTATTCTATCCTTGTACAACTTGCATAGATGATGGAGGCTGATTATGAACTTACCAAATCCTTTAGTCCTCTTTAAAAAAGAAAAAGAAAAAGAAATCCAAAAGGTGAATAGCAATTTGCAAGTGGCATGGAAACATCGACATGATAGAAATAACGTATCTTGACAACTGAAGAAATATAGCTCAGACATAAGTCGAAATTGATAGCGTTAAATTGAGAATTAAAAATTATAAAATAAGATAACTATAACCATTTCAAATCACCATCTTTGACAAGCTATTTTGAGCTTATCACGAACTTTCCAATAAAAAATATTTGACTTCGCCGTTAAGTCACCACGAAACTTAACACCGTATGTAGTTTTTAAATGTCGCGATATCGTGTTGAATCAACTCCTTTAAACGCTTAAATTCTTATCTTCTTCTACAATATCGTTCAATACAGCATACGAAGCACGAGCGAACCATGATAGGATGTGATGGGGCTTGGCCAACCATAACTGTTTCCTTGAAATTCCTCAATTATTTGGCATGGCCAACTGCAACAAATAGCAGTACAAATTGCCGACATTTGTTTCATCATTCAGTGTCATCAAATGTCGACACGTCAACTTGGGTGGGAGGCATGCCTTTTAACACGTGTCCTCAGCATTGACCAAAACCCTTTACATCCTCGTTTAGTCAAAATTCTAATCATTGTTACATTATTATCTACAATAAAGTGTCGATCGATAGAAATATTTATTTATGTTTGAATAATTTTATTATTCATTTTTTTAATAAGAAGAATATATGTAATTAATTCTTTTATGCATATATAAATTGTAGAAAATTATTAAAGGTAATAAATATGTTTATCCATATATATTTTAAGGGGAAAAACTGCTTGTCATTTTTTAACAAACATGGGGAAAACTCTTCCTTAAAAAGAGACATATCTGCAAATATTGTAAAATACTAGTAATTTTAGATTAGTATATTTTGTTGGGAAAATAATGTTTGGCGACATATTTTTCTTTTAATCATCGGTGACTTGTTTTCTTAATTTTGTGGTCTTTTATAGTCGAACTTCTATGTGCTATAAGGGCTTTATAGAATTATATTTAAATGGCGAAATCTTAATAAATATGTTCATTTCGAGGAGTTTACAAGCATGTTCGTACTGGTAAACCAAATTGAACAAACTAAAACCCAAAAATCCAATATATATATATATATAAAAGGAGTAAGAGACTGGAGTTCAAAATATTCATGTCTATCAAACACATAATACATGCACGATTTTTATAAATAGATAGTGCGAGGCTTGAATTTAAGTAATTTATCACTTTTGTCATTCTGATTGTGATACTATATTGAACTATCTCACTTAAAAACTTAATATAATGAAGAGAAATATATTCTTTTATTTTAATTTCATCTCCAACCATACGAGAGTGTGTTTGTGGTGGGAGATTGGGCGCAATGTAGTGATATTTATCATAATTTAAGTAGTTTGCAAGTGACTTTGACTTTATTTTGATATATGATCATGAGTACATTTTGCGACAAGCTTCATTTAGTCAAGGTACTTGACAATGAATACATTGCGAAAATTGATTATATGTGAATATTGGCAACACTCAATGGCGACAATTGCGGGCTATGTGAAATTGACGAAATGTACACTAAATTAGTGTAAACTCCATGCCAAACGGGACCAACAATGAGATAAAAGTCTTGTGTCAACGTTTATGCCAATATGTATAGACGGAGACAGATAATGAAATAATTGATAATTGGTTAAATTTTTATGAGAGATACTACACGTACAGATGGAAAAACCAACAAAAATGGGCCAGAGTTTTCTGGTGCATTTCAGCGGAGTGGTTTATGCACAAATGGAAAAATACAATTTTTATGGATGATTTGGAATTTATTTGAGTGACAATGATATTAGTTACTTGAGACATGACATAGTCAGCACCCGACGAACTATAGCGACTGAACCATGCTTACTCTGTCGGAATTTTTTTCCCATTATATTGGGCGGCCTCTTGACCGTCGTCGATCATCCACCTTAGCTCAGATGAATTACTGAATCCGCCACTAATCACACCTCAAAATTCAAGATAAGAATTGAACCGTCTCAAATCTTGAAGACTCAAATGATCTTTTGTGCAGAACTCTATGTAAACATTCTGATTATTCCAAGTACAAGAGAATATAACCAGATATTGGAATCCTAAAATATCTTGAAAAAATAATAAAGAACTTGATCATGCTAGTAGAATAGGTCGCCCTTGTCATGAGTGGCCGAAGACATATGGAAGTTAGATGTGGTACGTGGCAATGCTCAAACTATTGTTTCCAAAGATAATATAAGAGGGAAAAATAAAATAAAATAAAGGCTCGTAAAGGTAGGTTTTATAAATGCGTCATACCCTGCAATAAATCCCACTGCAGTTTTTGGTATTGTTGGAGAAAGGTGTAACTTTCTAACAGACTCATTAATTGATTTCCAGTGTTGAATGCTCTGGTACTCAAATCTTGATTCATACGCAACAATTTTGCAACTCACCTAAGATGGTCGACAAGAACTAATTGTTTTTTTTTTCTTTTTTATTCAAGGATGGACACTCGTCAATCTTCATACGTCAATAGATCGGTTAGTGTCAGCTACCATCAAAGAAAAAAAATGCGACCCCCGTTCGAGCCCCATTTTTGTAAGAAAATATATTCAGAAATAATGATTTTTGAAGAATGTATGATTGAAAATGAGTTTCGAAAAAATGAGGGCAAACGTCTGTGTTTGTCCCTCATTTTTTCAAAAATATAAGGTTGTAAATCAAAAGAAATGATTTACATAACAAACCCAATTTATGTACAATCGCCCATATTTGTAGTTTGCCTTGAATCTTAATGTGTAATTTAGTTTGAAAAAGAAAATTTCATTTTAATTAGTTGAGAATTTAAGAAGGTTTGTTGGGATGTTTGGTCCCAATATATAATGAATCCCACACCTCTCATGCTTACCAGCTAAGAATGCTATGTAATTAAAGATTTGGATCAAAAGTCGTAAGCTAAATTCAATTTGGTCAAATTGAGAAAAACAATTTTGCTTCTCTGACTCTAATCCATGTCTTCTAGACAACGTCGTAGTAGTGCATGAATCAAACATGTGAACACGTGCGGCACGAGTGCGCAAGCACAAAATTATTAATGTGTATCTGGGATCACCGCAGACGTAGAGTGAAAATATAAGCAGGTTTAAAATGCGCTCATCTGTTCTTTTTTTTTTTTTCAACTCCTCGTACGTTCACAACTGAAAATGTATAAGATCGTAAACATGATTTTTCCAACTAACGATGAAAGGACTAATTGTCACGTGTGTTAATGCACTTCTTTTAAGATTTGAGATTTGCTTCACAACCAAGTCTGCTTTGGACTTAAATTTGCTTATTGATAGCTAATATTCTTAGTCAACCGTGATTATTAATCTTGTTCACACTCTCCTCTCTCTAAAAGACACACAAATTCTCTCTCTAAAAATACTATAAATATAGGCTACCTGTTTTTTGAAGCCAGACGTTAGTGTATAACAAAGGTCAAACAAATACAGCTCATTTCAATATTTCCTCTATAATGTTACCAATGGTGTTATCTAAACCAGCAATGGAGCAACTCTCTGTAGCCACCACATTGTTCACTGAAGTCCCTTTAATCGACCTATCAAAACCCGACTCTAAAAATCTCATCGTTAAGGCCTGCGAAGAATTCGGATTCTTCAAACTAATCAATCACGGCATCCCAACTGAATTCATTGCCAAATTAGAATCAGAAGCCATGAAATTTTTCTCCCTGCCGCTCTCTGAGAAAGAAAAGGCAGGCCCTCTTGACCCTTTTGGCTATGGAAACAAGAAAATTGGCCACAATGGCGATGTGGGTTGGGTCGAATACATCCTATTAACCACGAGTAATGAAGCAAATTACCAGAAGTTTTCATCCATCTTCGGCGAAGCTGCAGAGAAATTTCGGTATGTTGAAAAAAAAAAAAAACTCGTTACATACTATCTCCATATTCTTCACTTATTAGATTCTTGTTGTGTTTATCGCAGTTGTGCAGTGAATGAATATGTGTCAGCAGTCAAGAAAATGGCTTATGAGATTCTTGAAATGCTTGCTGATGGATTGAAGATTCAACCAAGGAATGTTTTTAGTAAACTTCTGATGGATGAAGAGAGTGACTCTGTTTTTAGGCTCAATCATTACCCTCCACGCCCAGAGCTTCATCAAGAAACGAATGACACGAATTTGATTGGATTTGGAGAACACACAGACCCTCAAATCATTTCGGTTTTGAGATCGAACAACATATCTGGCCTTCAAATCTCGTTGAAAGACGGGAATTGGATATCCATCCCACCAGATCAAAGTTCGTTTTTCATTAATGTTGGTGACTCGTTACAGGTACAACGACCACCCTACAGAATATTTTAGCCCCCAAAATTAATACGTTGATGTGCATGTATCAGATAGCATCTAATGAATAGATTTTTTCCACGCAATTTTCACATTGATTGATGTGAAATTTATTGGCTTTGTAAATTATTTCGCTCATTTCATTTTTAATAGACACCCCTATTGGTCGATAAATGATTAAATGAATCTTGCTAGATTCCTTCAACACAAGGGTTTTCATTGTCCCTACACCCTATCACCTAAATATGTCACGTTGTTATCACTTTCTTTACATGGTTTGCTATGGATATTATTTACACTAACATCTCGTGTTTATGTGTATGTTGTCGACAGGTTATGACGAATGGGAGGTTTAAGAGTGTAAGGCACAGAGTGATGGCGAACAGTTCAAAATCGAGGCTTTCGATGATTTATTTTGGCGGACCTCCTTTGAGTGAAAAAATAGCTCCATTGCCTTCATTGATGAAAGGAGAAGATAGTTTGTACAAGGAGTTTACATGGTACGAGTATAAAAAATCGGCATACAAGTCGAGATTGGCCGATAATAGGTTGGGCCTATTCGAGAAAATTGCAGCGTCGTAATAGTTCGATATAGGCCTATCTTGATGAAAAAATGTGATATCAAAATACTTAGCTGTTTTTATATAGTTGATTGAACCTTTCCAAATATGGTAAAAGTTTATATTTTCTTTTGCTTTGTTCGTCTTTCTTTCTCATACTATAACACAAGTTTTACACCATTAATTGCCTATTGTTTGAAAATATAAATAAATTCTACAACGATAAAGAATACAAAAAAATAAAAATAAAAAAATGCGCAAACGAGTTGATATTCATTACAAACTAATCTGAACTCTCAATTTGATCTCGAAAGTCTCCAAACTCAAAGAAAGCATTCTCCCCGTAAAAAGAAGAAAATTCTAAAAAGTAATATCACTCGTCACATTTTAACATATACACAAGTAATTCTTGACATATCGGCAGTCGATACAAGTTACCTAATACTTAGATTGATGTCCTCATGTAATAACAAGTCCTCGGTTTGACGGGTCATCAGAGTTAGGGCTGGGACGGGGACGAGGCCGGGGCAAAATCCCTTGCTCTAGGTTGGGGACGATGAACAGATGGACATGTTTGTCCACGCGTAATTTGAAGTTATCACTTGAATTCTTAACGAAACAAGCGTGTTGTAAAATTATGCCACGTGTTGACAATTTCGTCAATATTTTGTTGAGTAGTCAAAGTGTGAGAAATATCATGTAGCACATTGTTTCGATCCCTTCAACAGTGACAGCTTCAAGTTTTACGAAATCAGCGGCTTCTAAAGATGCTGACATTCTTCGAGAAATTAAATAAATTAACGCTATCCAGTATCCAATGCACGTGAAAAATAAGCTTGTGAAAAAGAAATAGCGACTTTACAATTGAAAAGTATGGTTCTTTTACATTGTTGCCTATAATATGTGATCGACAGAAATCCGTTGTAAAGATGTAAACATAAATCAACTTATAAAGGATTTGATTACCCCTCTTGATAAAGTTGACCTTTTAAGATGGAACTCCAATTCTTAACATGGTATCAGAGCCCATTAAGTTCTAACGAGCAATTCGATCCGGTTAAGACTCTAAAAGTGAGCATACGGATTTCAAGATGGTCTGTTCAAACGAGCCACCATCTTGCAGGGGCATGTTAAGAGATAGAATCCCACATCGAATAAAGATGTAAACATAAATCAACTTATAAATTATTTGATTACTCCTCTTAATAAGGTTGACTTTTTAAGATGAAACTCCAATTCTTAACACGTTGTAGTCTGGTTGGTTAGGATGCTTGGCTCTCACCCGAGAGACCCGAGTTTAAGTCCCGCAGCAGCAGAATTTTTTTTGGTGTGCCTGAATTGTTGTTGAACGCTTTGTAGCCTCTAATGGAAGTGGAAATCTACATAATAAAATGTCGTGCTCGAAAAATTTCTAAATCCTCGAGGGCATAGCAAAGACAACCCCTTGGAATTACTATTCCTACGAGTCTTTATACATTTTTGAATTGAGCAAAGTAGCTAATAAATTAATTTCGCACTTGAGAATAAATTCTTTTGTGGGAAGAACCCGAATCAACAATACACTCTACTAGAAATGTACGTTGTTTACATCCCAGTATTCGCCCATTAATGGACTCATATCAAGTAAATTCATTAAGTAATGCATATTGTTCAAGAAAGGCATGCTTTACCAAAATTCGTACATTGTAGGAAAACATTATGAAAAATGATGCTTCATCACATCACCAAGTTGGTGTACGAATGAATTAGTCTATGCTACCAAAAGGGCTAAGATTATCCAATCCACACTTGGAAACCAGACCATTAGCTGGTCGATCAGGGGATAAATTTTCAATCACGGCAATCCCTCACAAAAATTGTATACTATATTCTTCAAGTAGTAATAACATCCCACGAAAGTACAAAAGAAATAACTAGCAAGCTTATGATTTTGATATATCAGTTGAAGGTGTTTGGACTTTCTAATGTCAAATATTGTTCATCTTGTTTGAACATCAAATACAAAAGATTGCATTGTGTCTAAAGCTTCTCATTGCCTAGGTCGTTGTTTGGGTTGTGATGCCATATATCCAAACATTTTGGACTGTGATGATAAACTAGACTTGGCCCACTGCCGGTATTAGATTTTCATTGCCTGATAATTCAACTAAAGAAGCCAAATTGCCCAGCCCAAATACAAGGCATGTCTCGCACTTTAAAAGAGCGACTTTAGTTGCCTTGGGCGTATGAAATCGCTAGCTGCTATGAACCGTTGATTCCATATGAGATCTACAGTGATGGTTGAGTGGTATATATTAGAGTCATGTGTTTTGCCCTAATCACTTTTACATGCCGTCTGACTTCTTTAGGGTTCTAGAATTCTCTCTGGTTTTGCCCTTGTTTTTCCATCTTCTCTGTTGATTTTCAACTTCTGGTTGTTTTGATCTTTTGAGTTCCTTCGTGGATTTTTAAGTCTTTGTGATTCTTTCTGTGAGAAGAGACTGTTGCTTTTAGTATTGGAACTTCTAATTCATAGAAGTAGCTTCAACTGTTCTTTGAGGGTTTGGGGTTAGTGCTTTTGATTTGTACAGAATGGTACAATGTGTCTGAACCCAAGATCGCTGATATCCTGATGCTAATGATTTGTTCTTTTTTCTTTTATATTCTGATTGTAAAGTTGAAATATTATGTATAACTTTTGGGTTATCTCTAATTTCTTGTTGTAATAGTGGTATAAGAGCCATCAGAGGCTGTTTGTGTTCCTTCATCTGTGGTTTGGTTGTGAAAAATCAATTTTCACAACTAGATTTGGAATCTTCGATCTGTTCGAGTACATATCTAACATTCTGGTTTATTTTTCTTTCATGAAAATTGATCTAATATTTGATCTCTAGTGTTTTTCAGTTTGCATCTTGGTGTTCAATCTCCCTATTCGTGGTTTTCTTCGTTGACCCAAGATCTCTAGGATTTTGACTTGAGTCTTTTGGTTTCCGGTGGTCAATATGAAGGACCACCATTTTGGTTTGCGACCCTTTTTTCCTTTTCTTGTCCTATATACAATATACTTTGTTTATCTTTGTATAAAATCCCTCCATACTTCATGTTCTTATATTCAAAGTGAGCCTTGATCGGAGGACTTGATCTTCATGAAATCCTGGTGAATATGAATATCTGGAACATGAAGGATATTATACTGATATCATTGATTATTGTTACACTTTACGTTCTTCTTGTTATTTCCCTGTGTTTCTTGAAAATTCTTAATTCTAAATATCGTGTGTGATTCTGTGTTGTCAAACACTATTTGGTATCTACTGTGTCTGTTGAACACCGTACTTCAAATAATTTTTTTGTGTTGGTTAAAAACTCCAAATGACAACTTCCACGTTTGAACTTGAGGTTTTTAATGGAAAATGAGATTTCCCCATTTGGCAACAAAAATGAGAAAAGTCCTTATTCAACAGAAAGTTTCAAAAGCTATAACTGCTGATTTTCTTGTAACTAAGACTGTTGATCAAAGAACTGAATCAGATGAACTTACCTATGCTTCCACTATTCTGCATTTATCTGATTAAGTTTTGAGGAAGTTGGGAAACTCGATAATGCTAGGGGCCCTGTGGGTAAACTAGAAGTGCTTTATTTAGTTAAGTCTTTACCAAATAAACTGTTTTTTCTAGAAAGATTTTTTAGCTTCAAGATAGACATGACCAAAGACCTAGATGATAATCTTGATACATTTAATAAATTAGTACAAGATATTACTAGTGCTGGTGACAAGGTATCTCACTCTTTGAGAAGCAACGAATTAGAACTTAAGACTAAAAGATATGGAAGAGAATTTGAGAGTATGTTTATAAGAGGGAGGTCACTTAATAGGCAAAGTAATAATCAAGACAATCAGAGTTATCAAGGGAACAACAATAACAAGAAAAAAGGGAAAGGAAAACATAGGTCAAAGTTTAGGACTGGAAATAAAAAATGTTATGAATGTGGTTAAACTAGACAATTTATAAAAGACTGTTATAAGAAAAAGAATGAACAGAGAGATAAGAAGGTAGATGAGGGAAATGTGGCTGAGCCCTTAGAAGATAAAACCGTGGATGTCTATGTTGTTACTGAGTCTATTACTTGTCAAAGTACTGTAAATTTCTCTAAGAATAAAGATCAGAATCAAGAGTGGATCTTGGATTCTGGTTGCACTTTCCACATGACCTCTAGAAAATCTTGGTTAGAGAACTACAAGGATATGAATGAAAGTGTAGTTATGGGAAATAATGCTGCCCATAGAGTTATGGGAATTAGCTGTATGACTTTGAAATTTGAAAATTGATATATCTTCACCCTAGAAAGAGTTAGATATGTCCCTGATTCAAACAAAAACTTAATTTCAATAGGTGATCTAGATGACATAGGCCTACTTGTTAGGCTTGGAAATGGCTTGCTAAAGGTGATTAGAGGATCAATTGTCATTTTTAAGGGTACCAAGAGAAATGATATATATGCCACTAGAGCTAAGGTAATTTCAAGTCACGCTGCTGAATCCTCTAGTGTTGAAATTGATGCCACTTTAAAGTGATACAATACGTTGGCACCTATAAGTGAAAAAGGGCCAGCATGTTTTAAACAAGAATGGTCTTTTGGAAAAGATGTGATCTCAAAAATTCCTTTCCGTAAGCATTGCACTTTAGGCAAACAACATTGGCTTCATTTTAATACTGAAAAATATGAAACTGCATCTGTTTTAGAATATATACATTCTGATTTGTGGGGTCCCTCATCTACCATCACTCAAGGTGAAAATAAATATTTTCTATCTTTGATTGATGATTTTTCTAGAAATGTTTAGACTTTTCTGTTAAAACAAAAATCTGATACCTTTAAATAGTTTATTGATTGGAAAACTTTGATTAAAAATCAGACTGGTAAAAAGATTAAAATTTTGAGAGCTGACAATGGTCTAGAATTTTGCAAAGTTGATTACGACCAACTTTGTAAAGCTGATGGTGTTCTAAGATATAAAATTGTGCCCTATACTCCTCAACA